CCGTGTCCGTGCCGTGTCCGTACCGCGTCCCCTGACCCCCCACCGGCCACCCTTGCCCACCACCACCACCACCATCGCCGCCGCCGCGCTCACACGGACGTGGTGCCCTCGCGGGCGGGCGGCGCCGCGCCCGGCTCGGCGGCGGGGCCGGCCGCGGCCTTGTCCAGCGAGCTGGACGTGCGCAGCGGGACCCCCGGCCGGCCGGGGGGCCGCGGGCGGCGGCCGCGGCAGCAGAGCACGCGCAGGAACTCGCCGCGCATGTCCTTGCTGCGCAGCACGTAGATGACCGGGTTGGCCGCCGAGTTGAGCGCGGCGAAGGCGAAGAAATAGTTGGCGCTGTACAGCACCCGGCAGGCGCGCACCGGGCACGAGGCGTCCATCAGGAGGATGATGAAGGCGGGCAGCCAGCAGACGATGAAGGCGCCCAGCACGATGGTGACGGTCTTGAGCAGCGCCAGGGTCTGCGCCGAGGCGATCTCGGCGTGGCTGGAGCGGACGATGCAGTAGATGCGCGTGTAGAGCCCCACGATGGCGGCCAGGATGAGGGTGAAGATGGTGGTGACGAAGAGCACGTAACGCTTGGAGTAGAGCGGCAGCACGGTGGAGCAGTCGCCCAGGTCGCTGATGCAGTTCCAGCCCATGATGGGCAAGCTGCCGACGGCGCCGGCGATGGCCCAGCAGGCGCCGATCAGCAGCACCATGCGGCAGTTCTTGTCGCTGCCGTACACCTTCACCTTGGTGATGGCCACGTGCCGCTCGATGGCGATGGCCAGCAGGCTGAACACCGAGGCGGCCAGCGTGGCGAAGGCCGTGCCCTCGCGCACGAACCACTGCACCGGCGTCAGGCTGAAGGTGGTGCTGCCCGACAGCAGCGTGTTGGCCATGAACGCCGCGCCGGCCAGCAGGTCCGAGGCGGCCAGGTTGCCGATGAAGATGTACATGGCGAGGTGCAGGCGCTTGTTGCGGCAGATGGACACCAGCACCAGGAGGTTCTCCAGCACGATGACGCAGCACAGGAGGACGATGAGGACGGAGCCCACCCAGCGCGAGGGCGCCGCGCCCTCGCCGCCGTCGCCCTTGGTGAAGTTGTAGTGCTCGCGGATCTTGTCGCGGTTGAAGTAGTCCTTGTAGATGCTCCCCATGGCGGCGGCGGCGACGGCGACGGCTCAGCGCCGCCGGGACATGGCTCCTGGGGACGGCAACGTCACCTCCTGGTCACCTCCGTGCCGCCAGGGACGCCCCGGGGTGACAGCCGGGGCCACGCCCGGTCTGTCACGCCGTGGGCACCCCGGGGTGTCACCCAGGGCTGCTCGTGTCCCCCCAGTCACCCTCAGCCCTGTCCCCATGGGTGGTGACAACCATTGTCACCTCTGCACCCCGGGGTGTCACCCAGGGCCGCTCATGTCCCCCCAGTCACCCTCAGCCCTGTCCCCATGGGTGGTGACAACCATTGTCACCTTGAGCCACCCCGGGGTGTCACCCAGGGCCGCTCATGTCACCCCCAGCCACCCCCAGCCCTGTCCCCATGGGTGGTGTCACCCACTGTCACCTTTGGCACCCCGGGGTGTCACCCAGGGCCGCTCATGTCCCCCCAGTCACCCTCAGCCCTGTCCCCATGGGTGGTGACACCTTTGGCCACCCCAGGGTGTCACTTGTGTCCCCCCAGGTTGTGCTGGCAGCCGCCCTCATCCCTGTCCCCATGGGTGGTGACACCCACTGTCACCTTTGGCACCCCGGGGTGTCACCCAGGGCCGCTCATGTCACCCCCAGTCACCCTCAGCCCTGTCCCCATGGGTGGTGACACCTTTGGCCACCCCAGGGTGTCACTTGTGTCCCCCCAGGTTGTGCTGGCAGCCGCCCTCATCCCTGTCCCCATGGGTGGTGACACCCACTGTCACCTTTGGCACCCCGGGGTGTCACCCAGGGCTGCTCATGTCACCCCCAGTCACCCCCAGCCCTGTCCCCATGGGTGGTGACACCTTTGGCACCCCGGGGTGTCACCCAGGGCCGCTCGTGTCCCCCCAGTCACCCTCAGCCCTGTCCCCATNCCCCCAGTCACCCTCAGCCCTGTCCCCATGGGTGGTGACACCCACTGTCACCTTTGGCACCCCGGGGTGTCACCCAGGGCCGCTCATGTCACCCCCCAGCCACCCCCAGCCCTGTCCCCATGGGTGGTGACACCTTTGGCACCCCAGGGTGTCACCCAGGGCCACTCATGTCACCCCCCAGCCCTGTCCCCATGGGTGGTGACACCCACTGTCACCTTGGGACACCCCAGGGTGTCACCCAGGTGCCACCCGCTGTCCCCGGTGTCCTTCCCCGGGGCTGCCACCCCCATCCCAGCGGCAGGGCGGGGGGGGCACATCTGGGCGCACATCTGGGGGAAATCGAGGCAGGGGCGGCGCCTGAGGTGACACCGGGGTGGCGGGAGGTGACAGACACCCGCGGGGAACGGGGCGGGGACACCGCAGGATGTCACCGCCCGCGCCCGGTGTCGTCACCCCCAAATTTCGGGACGGGACCCCCCCGGTAAGGGCCCCCCCCCCCCCCCCCCCCCC